GAAAAAAATTCATTATTTTCTAAAAATTCAGTTTTCACTCACTTTGTAGAACGACTTTTTGAAAAATATATTGTAGATAACTTCTGAACTGCTTGGTTGTTTTCGCTCAAATTTTTACCATAGATGTAGTTCTAAAAGTTACATAAGCATTCAAAAATTCAGCAGTCTATCTCATACTAATCCTGAGAAATTTACAATACGCGATAACATGTAGAGAGACATTTTTTTTAAAAAAGTGTAGAGCGACTTTTTGAAATTTACTTTGTAAATAACTTCTGAATGGTTCATTTATTTTCGTTCAAATTTTTATTGCAGATATACTTCTCAGAGTTCTATATTCAGTAAAAAATTCAGTCCCCAATCTCTTATCATGTTTGAGATATCTACATTACATTATGAACTGTAGAAGGACATTTTTCATTAAAACAACGGTTTTTCTAGTACATTTACAGTAACACATATCGTATCTCAGCTAATATGTGGTAAAGCGTTGGGAAACTTTTGCTGTCATAGAGTCTAATAAAAGGCACTAGTCAGACATTGTTTAGATCTACTTTCAATTTTTTGCACCAATCGTACCAGAAAGTTGCAATTCACTCATATATTTGTTGTTTGTTATAAATATTGTGTCATTATGTAATCTGTTATATGAATTGTATTTACTTTCTTCACCTGTACCAATTATATTTTTCACCAGTAAAAGGACCATATCCTTATGAATTCATTCGATTTGTAAAATAATCGAAAGAGAATAGATCATAAACAGTAATCCTTGATGAATATACTTAGTTTTTTTTTTTTTTAAATCAATAAAAAGTATAATTAGCGATTCATTCGTTTAGATTGAAAAGAAAGGAAGATAATCAAGATGATCTGTCAATTGCTAATGTGAAATTGAAATGATAAACAGAATTCACTTGTTTTTATGACCGGAAAGATAAACTATATAGAAGAGAAGAACGATGGTGAGACGTTGTCTGGATTAAATCATAGATAAGTGATAACAGGAAAAACAAAATTAGCACCAACGTTTTTTTTTTCAATCGATTCATTTGTTTCTCTTCAACGTTCAAGATTAATCTTACGACTTTCTCACTTCATTATCATTCTTTTCCAATCAATGTACCTGTTGTATGTGTATGAATAATACAAATCGTGGTGTGAAGAAGTTCAACATTTTGATACAAAAATGACAATAAAGAAAATGACATTAGAATCATTATCCAATGAATTGTTGATTGAATTATTCGAATTATTGAATGGAATCGATGTCCTTCATTGTTTCCTTGGTCTTAATACTCGTTTTAATTCTCTACTATTGATCTATTTTCGAACTTATCGTGTCGATCTTCGTTCGATCTCCAAAGAAAATTTCACACTTTTCTGTCAAACATATCTACCTTTGATAATCAATCAAATTATTCATCTTCGATTGTCTGATGATGATGATACTCCACGTCAATATTTTCATCTATTATCCGCCGGTTTTAAATTAAATCAATTCAACCGTCTTCGTTCTCTAACGTTCGATAATATTAGTTCAGATCCAATGATTAATCTATTCTTCTTTTGTGACTTATCTCGTCTTTATCAGCTGACACATTTAAAATTTATTAATTGTCGAATATCTGAACTTGAAAAACAGTCCGCTCAAGATATCATTGATCGCATTTGGAGTTTACCTAAACTGACCTATTGTTATTGGGATCTTAAGTTTGACTGTACAAGTTATTTTTGTATTCCTACCATCATTTCCATATCGTTGCATTACTTAATTATTCGTCAGAATTTCTGGTCATCGCATCAATTTGCCAGTTTATTAGAGAAAACACCTAATTTACTAAAATTTTCTCTTTCCTTGAATAGTTATGAAGAAGATGATCGTCCATCTTCTCGTCAATTTATATCATCACCGAAGAATCTATCAGTTGAAAAACTTGCCTTATATGAAGTATGTTCACAACGTGTAATGATCAATCTATTCCAATTATTACCTAATATTAATCATCTCAAAGTGGATATGTTCTCTATTAAGTTCACTGGACATGATTGGAAACAAATTATCGTTAAATATTTACCACAATTGAAGGTTTTCCAGTTGAAGATGGATTTCAGTTTTTATCGTTTCATTAATGATCAAGATAATGAAGAACAAGTCGAACAATATCTAGCTACGTATCGTACTCCATTCTGGATCGAACATCATCAATGGTTCATTCGATGTCATTGGAGATTATGGATGGCATCTTTGTGCATATGTATATATACTTTACCTTACAAATTTGATTATTTTCCCGTTATCTCCAATGCATACGATTCGAAAACAATATCGACATGTCCACATGAAAAATATTTCTTCTATGATTCTGTTCAACAAGTAAGTTATAGTTCGTCCTTGTTCGAGGACGATACATGGTCTTATATCCAACTAAACAATATTAGAATATTACATCTACAATTACCCATTGATCATCATTTCTTCTCGATTGTTCCCAATATTGAACATTTACATTTACTGGTTGTCGACATTCCGGAAAGAAATGATCATTCACAGTTACAAGCATTGTTGGATCGTGCATTGAATCTCCACTTCCTAGTATTTAATTCATGGGATACTTTCGAAATGCCGCCTTATCAACTAACCAGCGCATCAGTTCGTCGACTAGATTTACAAGGTGTTAATCAATCACGTCATCGACATTCCTATGATCTTAAACAATGTATGGAATTAAGTCAATCATCTTTGGCTATTCATTGTCGAGTGGTACTTATCAGAGTGAACCAAATAGAAAGTATTCTGCTATTAATTAATTCTATGATTAATCTTCGAACTCTGCATGTTCTCTATGAAGATGATCAACGTAGCAATAGATATGATTTGGTTGAACTATTGAAAAATTATCTATCATCACCGTGGACTATCATTCGACACAATTATGGACATTGGATCTTTCAATCATAACTGTTTTTTTTTCTTCATATGTAGTTTATTGAATAAAATATTCAAAAGATTTGATTGATTTTGCATGTATATATTAGAAGCATGCCATTTAATAAAATAAAGAATAAAATAAGATGAAACAAATATTCTCGGTCGATTGAAAATATTTCGAAACTATTTGATGAACTTTTTACCCATTTTATACACAGTTTACTACCGTTCTGTAAAACAGATAAAAACTGATGACAAGATATATTATTCATTTTCTTAGATCATATCTATAATAAATGAAAAGTTTTTATTTGTCCTCATCCTCAATACAAATATTTTTCTAGCATTTTCTCTTGTCAAAATGAAAAATATAGAAGTGATAGTACAGAATGCATTTAGATTTGCACATCGATGATTTAATGAGGTAAGACTTTAACTCAGAGGCGGCGGGACGACTCTAATTTAGGGGAGGCTCAAAACTTTTCAGGCAGTAATGGGAGAGTGAGATGAACGGGTGGGGGCGATTTTAAACCTTTTCAACTCTAACTCATATTAAAGAGACATCAGTTGTCCCGATAAGTTTTCAACAGGATTTATTTCGTATGTAATTTTTGTATAGGCAAACCATGTAATCTTGAAATCTCGTCAAAAGATTCGCCGTTATATTTGCGAATCTTCCGTGATTTATCTTTTTTTGGTATTTACTAGATTCATTCAGCAAACGGAATTCCTCTGTTTGATAGTACAGGATACAATTCAATCATGTTTAAGAAAGTATATGATCTGAAAGAGTGACCTTTCACCTTCAACCAAACATCTGTCTTTGCTTCAATTTCTTGAATTTGACGATGAAATCCGTACGAAGACTTATAGAAAAATTTCGAAAGCATGATTCGTAGAAGTTGCTGAATTGGGTGTGGGTGATGAGAAGATCTTATTAACACATACACCCACACCCACACCCTCTCTGTTAAATACAAAAAACCGAGAAGACTACCAGTTGTCTCATAAGGTTTTTCGAAGTGGGTGTGAGTGTAGTTGAAGATAATATGAACACCCATACCCCTATTTGTATTACTTTTGTCGGTTAAAATTCATTCAATTAATGGCCAAACGGGCTACAAACAGCGACTAGTGGATATTATTGTGAAGAACAGTCATGTGAAGTTAAATACCAACAAAAAAATACTTTAGTGGTCAAAGTACAGTTCAAACACGTAATGGAAAAAATATTTCTCTTTCGAATGTACAAATTGGAGAAGAAATTTTAGTACAAGAAGGAAATAAACTGATCATTGAACCGATTTATGATATAATTCATAGTGAAAAAAGCAAATTCTACAGATTTATTCATCTAACTGTATTTAAGCATCATCAAAACTCGACATATTCAATTGGAATTTCATTAAAGTATCTTATTTTTAAATATGAAATATCAACTTCTGTTTTTGCTTCAGAAATTCAACTAGGAGATCATCTTCAATTAGTTAATCAAGATGAAATTATTCCAGAAAAGATTATCCAAATAGATGAGATCATATCTCAAGATTTTAGTGCTCCATTAACACCTTCTAGTACTAACATAGTGAATAATCTTGTTAGTTCAAACTATGCTGAAGCACGAAATCATCATCTTGCTCATTTAGTAATGCAACCTCATCGATTGTGGAGATTTATTCTTGGACTCAAACAAATCATTCAAACAGATTTTGATTGGTATATTTCAATCTTGTACTATTTTCCACATAAAACACGTCTTTTACATATTTTATAAAAACAAGAATATTTTTTTAAATTTATTATTATTCACGAAATTTAAATATTAAATCTTGAATATGATCAAAATTCTATTGCTATTTGATTGGTATTGTGTATAGAAAATATTCAGCAATGAAATTTTATTTTAAACATATTTATTTTTTATTATTCTATAATAAAAAACAATAAAGTTTGTTTTGTTTGCTTGAATAATTATTAATTCTATCATCATTTAATATGAATCTCTAAAATATTATAGAAAAACTAGTGAGAAACAAAATTATATCAATTTATTTTCCTATTTTTACGGGACGTCAGTCTAATATTCATCTTTACTAGGGAAGCATAAATAGCAATAGACATGTAGTCTCTACGAATAATACGAACACCTTCAAAACGGCAACTACTGTCCGAAATAGATCGATTCGATGAGTTCATTTAATGAATATTCTTCTCGCGAGCAGCATAAATTGGAGGTTTTAACTGAAATAGACTTCCACAAGATACAAGTGGCTAGAATTCTTGACCTCAATATGCCTTCGGTTTTGAATCGATGTCACTTGTAAGATGAAGTTTAAATTATTCCTGTTCTTCTATAGAAATTCATTGTAGTGTTATACCCTAATGATTTTTGAATTAAAAAATGAAACTAGTGATCTATGATTTTTTTTGTCTAATACGAGAATAAATATACATAACATACAAAGTAATTCAGAATTTTGACGTAATAGTTTGGGCATTTCAATATCATCACCACCAATTTTTTTGATTCCATTCATTAAATATTCCAAATATTCAAACATATTACTTTGCTAGAAAACAACAGAAAATAATTATTTCTACGATTTCAAATAGATTCTACTTGATTTTGTATTATTTGAATTTGATTTTCAAGTGTTTTGATTTTATTTATAAGAATTTCTTGTGGAGAATGTCTTAAAAAAATAATTTCTTTTTTCTTTTATTAAATAAATCGATACATACATTCGTTCTTCATTTAAATCAGTTGGTTGATTAATTTGTTTTCGATCAGTTTTTAATGAAAAAAAATAAACTTCATTTCCTAAAGCATCTTCAATAGATTCAATTGTTTTTGTTAATATTTCATCAGCAATTATTTCTACAAAAAAAAAAAAGCCAATTAAAACATTTTTATTTTTATTAAAATGTACTAAATTTCGATCCATTCGTATGTTGAATATATTTTTGATAAAACCATTCGATTTTAAATTTATGTGAAAAAATATAAATCATTACACGATAAATATGTGAAAATATAATTAATGGTGGAGGAAGTGATGGAAGAGTTAAATGATAACATACATATGAATAATGTTGAAATTTCCATATACAATCTGTATCTAATTGTAAACGATCAAATGTATTACTTCAAAAAAAGATAAATAATATAATATTTCAAAATATGAGATAAAAATAAAAGTAATACCTGAACATAGCAATAAGAAGATTAATTAAAAGAACACTTGCTACTGTCATATAAGCAATTAATAATATAAATACAACATAGCCAGTTATTTCATAGTTTTCTAAAAAAAAACAGTTAAGATCAAATTTCAATAAAAAGTCTAATGTGAGAGTCACTTTCAATATCGTCAAGAACTTCTAATTCACCAAATATTTGCCAATAAGCTAAATTTAAAATAGCACGTGGAATATGCCAAGAAAATTTTTGAACACCATAGAGTAAATTATATGTAGGTACACCATATGCTAATATGAATATAGTTAACATTAACATGTAAAATTTTAAATCATGAACCTTATTTTTATAAATACAGAAATTAACAAAATTGAATTAAATATATTTTATTTACCATTTCACCAATCATAACAAGTTTTGGTCCGAGTCTTTTTACAGGAGAAAATATATCAAGTGTTCTTATATACCACATTGATAAATCAATAGCTAAAATAATTCGTGCACTACAAAAACATTCACTCATTGGTAACAATCGAAGAATAAAAGCAATAAAAAATAAAACTATCGCTATGAGATCTAATTTATTCCAAAATATTGAAAAATATGCTGCTAATTTTCCAGATATTGATTGAACTTCCATTGATAATACCTAATCAATCATTAAAAAAAAGAAGAAGAAGCAGAAAAAAAAAACCAAAACTTGATTATTTTTACTTGACGAATTTCTTCACAAAATAAAGTAAACATCCATAAAACAAGTATTATTTCACTGGTTGTTGGTCGATTATGTTGTTCGAGTCCAAATTTTGATGAAGAATTTCCATTGATAGTCAAATTAGTTTTTGTTTGATTTAAAATCGATCGTTTTACAACATTTTTTAATAATATATCACTATCACTATGTTCTTCTGGATTTGATTGACATTGAAAGTCATATATTGGAAAAAAATCACATAAGATAACATATGAAAATAATATTAAAAATATCACATGAAAATACTAGAAACAGATTCAAATATAAATATTAGTTTACAAAAATATTCAAACTTTTCTAAATATACAATATCTTTAAGGCCGGCCCCCTCTCTCCAAAATCGATTTTCGTTATAGTACGTGAGAATTTCACGAAACTTTCTAGGAATGTTCGGCTCATAGTTGTACATATATAAAAAAAAACTGCAGGGCTCTAAACCTTACCGTTCGAAAGATTTCGAACAATCAAGGGGCAAAATAGGGCTTCCACGGGAACAAGAAATTTTTCGAATACACTTCAAGCTACAGCGCCCGGGGTGGTCTCATGTGAAAGAGAACTCCTTGCTGATTCGGATGAGGAAAAGGATTTTTATTTTATTTCATTTTTGGAACTTCCGAAACCTTAAAGTTCTCAAACCTATAGCCAAGGTTTTCTAGAAAACCTTTGGATTTTTCAATATTAAGGGTCGAATACAAATTCCATTTCCCTCATTCGAAAGAGGATTCATCAATCTATCGAATAAAAAGAACCGCAGTTCAATGAAACAAATTATAGTGAAAAAAAATTTGTTCGGAGTTTCTCAGTTTTGCCAAAAATCAGTTTTGAGGAAAACGCGCGAATATTTTTTTCTTGGAATATTTTGTTGAATCGTCTTCATACAACAGAGAGTAACGTAATTATATTGTATATCAATTAAAAGCCCATCAGATGTCTCATCAAGTAGACGTACAACAGTATGCCGTGTCATTGTTTGTTATTATGAACGATAAAAACAAGTGGGCCTATAAGTTCTCTATAGTCTTAGATGCCATATTTTTTGCTAGAAAGCTTTATAAGTTCATCGATTATTCTAAAGAAACCTTTCGAAATTGGAAATGACTTTCATGAATTTTAAAACTAGGCACCTTGAAGGTAACATCCATATATTTATCTCGAAAATTGAAATTTAAAAAAAAATCGATTTTCGGAGGGGGTGGCCTTAATAACAAAAGAATATTCAGAAGGAAATATCTGCTTAATTCCTCTACAAAATGTTTTTGAAAACTAGAGAGCTGTAAATTCGGATTGAGGATTCAACCAATAGGTGCTGATCTAATAGCAAGTACCAATTTTGACTTCATCCAAGATTTCCTGAAAAATGTATAGGATGTGCCAGTCACTGAATATAAATAATCGAAAAAAGTATTTGGTATCTTCAGAGTGATTATCAGATTTTAATTGAAATATGTCATCGAGAATAATATGAGCGATTGATTGAACTCGGGACTAAGTCCAACATGTTTGAATTCGATAGGCTCTAGCCGCATCTTTTTACTCGGTACTACTACTTGTTTCTATGATTATATTTCTTGTAATCGTAATATAGACTAACAAAAATATGAATATGAACAGAAACAAGTTTTGGAAATTTTCCTATGTTTATCATAAATATTTGATAGATAAAATGACATAATAATACTTACTAAATTGTAGAGATATTTCACACATGGAGCTTGAAGAAACATTGAAACATTGTTTACATATTGACTAATTCCATTTTTCACTCTAAATAAGTGAATTCTTACACATACAGCTAATCAATTAAAAACTCTTTTTTTTTTAATCTGAATTATTTTCTGTTATTGGAGGAAATTTTTCTTTCATTTGAATTATTATTTTTTCTTTTAGATCAGAGATATATACGCCCATTCTCAATAAATGACTTAAAAAAATCAAATCCAATCTCGACTTATCCATATATCTATTTTAGAATATATTAATGATTAATTCAATGAAAATAAGTTCTTTTATTTGTATTATCTCTTTGTTTTAGATCATATCAATGATCAATTTGACGTAAGTAAGGCTTTTAATCTAAATTATTTATTTATTTATTTTTTATTGTAAATCACTTTATCGATCCTATTTGATAAAGTATCTTTCTCATTTATTTCTTTTGAATTTTCTAATTTTTATACGTAAATAGCCTTTTGACATATCGGATGATATAGAAATCTTATAGTATTAGCGATGTAAAATATAGATGGGTAAGAGCGGCTAAATGTAGTCATAAACGACATGTAATGGCACCGTTTCTGTTCCGGCGAAACACGTTCTGTAATTTAGTATGACGGATGATAGCCCTCTTTTTTCATCGTTTACGACAGGAGTTAAGCTGTCTCACATAGTCAGAATGATTGATCTAAGTATAAGTGTCAAACATAAAAAATTGATCTTTCATATTTCATAAACCTACTATATTTATCTAGTTAGCTTTAATTTTCTACCTTTTCCAATGACTAGTGCCGATAGAACTATCTTCGTCAAATAAATTATCATTCATTAATCTCGAACATGCTGGATCTGATGTTCTACAAATATATTTTATTATAAATAAGTCAAACAAATTTAGAATTGTCTACCTATTTGTAATAGATTTCAATTGTGATGTATTACGTTGAAAAAAGTTCCATTCATCTTGAAAATTCTAGAGAAGAAAATAATAGATGAATTAAAAACAATTGATGATTAACATACATTAGTTTTGGTACATTTTTCACTTCCTTCAACTAAGTTTTTATGATACGGAAGAAATCCACTATACCAAAGCATTATAGTTGAA